CGGAAATGAGCTTTCCACACTTCTGAGGAATCGTTTAATACAAAACACAAAACAAAACTCAAGGGTTTTCACCTTCTTGAAAAAATCAGGTAATTTTATCTCATTTTTAGAGAAAAAAAAATCAGACATAGGAAATATATTATTACCGATATACTTCAACAATATTGAGTACTTAGATATGTAGTTTTTCTTTCATGGATCGATGAACCGATAGGCATGAAGAACGCACTTTCGTACATAAATAGTTAGGTCGCCGAACCAAAAACAGCATGCATAATTTATTTAATTGAAGACTAGTTGGGCTAAGCCTACAGTAGATTGTCTGATCTGGCAAACTATGCCTAGGTATGTTAGCATGCCTTTTGTAAGCCAGGGCCTAGAGGGGGTTTGTTCGAACTCCCTGAACCCCACCATTGATCCACCACTGGTTGGACCGCTCCAAACTAAGTGATTGCCAATCTCTAATAAAGCACAATTTTTAGCAATCTTAAACCATTAAATTAAAATTTCTCCCAATGTCGACCCAAATCTACTCGCCCTGTTGACTGTATGACGGCATTTTTCCAAGACGGGCGATACCGGACACACTGAAAGGATCTTACTAGGCCTAAGCAGAGGCTTAATTCTATGCAATTTTCAAGTAATTTCATCTCTGACATTGAACAAGTTTACAGTTTAATTAGCATTGTACAAAAGCACAAACTTTTCATCGTCAAGCACATTGCTGAAATATCCGAAGAGGATTTCGGACTCTATGAAAATTCACCATGATGTTAAGGCATGATCCTTGCTCAAAAAGTCATCATGTTCGACTTTTCGTCAACTAAAATCGAAACGGATTTCAGCGGTAGATCATCATCAGCAGTGGACACGTTGACGGTCGCCTGCAGTCGACATGAATGTGCTCGTTGTTCACTCAATCGAAAAGTCCCCATTATTGTTGGACCAGGACCAAGGCTTAGGTAGCCTATTGGTTCAAAGCCCTTGTCAGGCTTGTTGAACCTCCTACCATCAAATTTCCCGGTTCAATTCCCAATGATTACTTCTTTAGGTTTCTACTTAGCTGGAGAGTTGCGCAAGTTTCAATAGCACACAATATTTCAAATGAGATGTTTAAGCCATTTGTCCCATTTTGAATATGACTCATGTTAAAGAACGCAGTACACCTTCTGAAGAGTCTCCTGGTGTACTGCTCAATAACAACCAGAAGGACCCCCTGGAATCCTTCAGAATTTTGTGTTTTATCCTTTACACAAAATAAATCCAATCCATGCATGGAGTATAATTTAGCTGGCTAGACCAAATTAGTATTTCCTCATACTGTAATGGTGATGCTATTGAATGACCTCATCTCATACCCTAATGGTTTCTACAATTGGTACTTCTGAGAGGAAGTTTCAAAATACATTTCCTCCTGACAATTTCTTCCTCATTTCTGTTGCATTAATTGCGGCGAAGCAGCCAATTCATATTCTTGACAGGAATTTGACCTCTGAAAGGTCATTGTTTGTCAAAAAACAAGGGCTACGAGGACTGAAAAGCGGAGTTTCCTTCTTTCGTTCTGCTGGGTAAAATCAATTACTTTAGGCGACGTTTGTAGACTAACCTACTCGTACCAACGTCCGCATGTCGCGCTAGCCTTATCCTACTCTAGGCCTAGACTAGCTATTATGGTATAGGCCTATCCTTGAAGGGACGAAGGTCCCAATGAAAAACAATGTCGCTCCTTGATAGCTAACATTGTCTATTTAACATCACAATAATTCATTATTAGACCTATAGTTGTTTTTTGAATTGTACTCCACAAATATCAGCCTATACCTCGCACAAATC